AATGCTCTGCAGTGAAGGAAGCTTTATGGAAGATCAGGGTTCGGTTTCCAAGTCAACCTGTACATGCCAGGTCTGTGTGCCTATTATTCTAGCTGGCTGGGAAAGGGTGTAGGAAGGACTGTGGCATGAGACCCTTTATAGGATGCTTGTCTATTTTCTCATGAAGCAAGCAATCCAGAAAATGTGTATATCTTTTGACCAAATAATTCAAGTTCTAGAAAATTAATAAAATAATTACATGCACATAGGGTTTTTTTTTTTTAAAGAGGTTTTTGCTATAGGGCATGTGCACTCACCAGAAAGACAGAGAGAAAAAGAAAGACAGAACGTGAGAAATCACCCCCCAGGGGGGGATGGCCACACCGCAATCCCTTCTCCTCCATTCTCGTCTTGGGATCTTGGGCACAAACGCACATGGGCCCAGTATGAGTCTAAGCCAGCAGGTCTGGGACTTGAACCCTGGTCAACTACATAGGAGTCCAGTGACATAGTAATTACACCAACTGCTGGTCCCCATGCACATAGTTTATTTTTTAAAATAAATAAAAGAATGTTCATGACAAATTATATGTAATAGCAACACACACACACACACACACACACACACACACACAAAACAGTAAAACTATATTCCAAAATGAAAAGATTAACTATGCAGCCATTAAATTATGATTTCAAATATTCTCTGCGTAGCATTTGAGAGTATTCTTAATGTATTGGGTTAAAATACAAAACTTAAAAAGTCATACTGTCAAATAGTTCATTGCTATATTTCAAAATAAAAGTCAGGACTGGCTCTGTGATATAGCAGTAATACACTGCTCAAAAAAAGCTTAATTCCACATGGTGACCCCCATTCAAATCCCCACCTGATTAACCTAAAGCACGCTGGGTTCCCATGTAAGTGCCCAAGATTAAACTAGCTAGAACACTGGAAGAAGGGCGTCACAGAGTGACCAGATCTGTGGAGGGTGCTCCTCTCTCTCTCACATACACACGCTTGTGTGCACATACATTTTATCATGAATAAAGAACACAATTTATAACAAAAATAATAAACAAAAATAAAAGCCATGGGACCAGCAGATGGTGTAATGGTTACATCGCTGGACTCCCATGTAGTCGACCACGTTGTGAGTCCTGGACCCGGTGGCTTAAAATTCACACCAGGTGCGTGAACGTATGTGCCCAAAATCCCAAGAGGAGAATGGAGAAGGAGGAATTGCAGCATAGCCGATCCCCACACCCACCCGGGGGTGATTTGTCGCTTTCTGATGTCTTTCTCTGTCTCTCTGGTGAGCACATGCACCCTATAGCAAAAATCTCTCAGGAAAAAAAAAAAAACTCATAAATTATACAGAAAAAAGCAAATACTTCAGAATGCTAATTTTTTATGGTTTATTCTTAATATTTGGAATAAACAATGCAATGTATATGTTTTTCTAAAGCATTTTATTATTTATCTATTTCTTTCAAGAGAGAGAGACATCTAGGGACCCCTGACAGACACTGAGTTCTCCCCACCCCCAACCTTCCAGCCAACCAGACTCACAGCGGGTTCAGTGGGTGCAGATTAACCTGGAATCCAAATCCTGGGCTTCTCACACGGCTTTAGCTTTATGCAGGCAACACCCTAACACGTGCACAACCATGGCTAGGCCTATAGTGAGTACTTTCTTACTAATCAGTAATTTTTTTAGAATCAGCATTTTTAAAATACCCCAAACATAACAAAGTAAGAAATTGACTCGGTCCATCAAATATTAACTTTTCCACAAGTTTTTTATGCTCTCGGCTGAATGTTGTTTCTTTTATGAATCCTTAGCCTGTTGCTTTCTGTGGCTGTTAACATATTCTATTTTACATTATGCATGGGTACTTCAAAAGTTCATGAAAAAATGGAATTAAAGTAGGAGGGATTTTTTTTTTTTTTGGTGCAAAACAATTTTGAAGTCTGTCACATAGTGTTATCGAAAAATGCATTTTCCATGAATATTTTGGAGACTTCTCATATAATCTATGTATTTCCTCCCTTTAAATTATTGTCTTCCATTAGATTAAAAACTCAGAGAAGGTTAGAATGCTTCTTTAACTGCTATAGTAGGTCCTGGAATAGCACAGTATATTGCCCAAAGTAAACATTTACCAATTCTAGCCATGTCTTTTGGTGTTTGCATTGCATATTCCATCCTCTGTTTGAACTTTTATAAATTTTATTTCCCACTTCAGCTTTTATTTGTAATATGCTCAATACAATTTTCTCATTATAGTCTCTTCAGTGTCCACAGGTCAAATGTAGGCCTTTCTACACTGGACGTTTACCAAATCTGATCATTATGTGAAGCATTTCTATACTGTATTTCATTCTTGCAACAAGCAGAAACCCACATATTTCATTTGTGGGATTGTCTTCATTTGAAATTAGAATTGAAATTTCCCATGACACTTACCTGCTATCTTCTTTTTAGTATCTTGCATCTAGATAAATTAATCTTTCAGATCTAATTTTAGTCAAGGGTAAAATTGTGAAAGCAATGGTAAATTATCTTGACCTTCTTCCAGCTCCCTTGAACATCACTTTTTCTAACACCTGGAACTTAATTGTAAGCCCAAGATGCTTTCCACCTATCTGTAAAGAAATCTTGTATGGGGGTCCAGCAGGTGGCATAGTGGTCAAGGAGCTGGACTCCCACATGACTGACCATGGTTTGAGTCCTGGACCTGGCAACCTGAAAATCATGCCAAGTGCATGTGTGTGCATATCCAAAGTTCCAAGAGAAGATGGAGAAGGGATTGCAACATGGCCACTCCCCCTGAGGGGGCGCGTGTTCTCTCTCTCTCTCTCTCTCTCTCTCTCTCTCTCTCTTTCTCCCTCTCTCTCTCTCTAATGAGCGTACATGCCTGGTGGCAGAAAACCTTAAAAAGAAAAGAGGGACCAGCAGCTGGCATAATGTTTCTGTTGTTGGACTCCCACATAGTTGACCATGGTTCAAGTTTTGGGCCTGGTAGCTGGAAACTCATGCCAGATGTGTATGTGTGTATGCCCAAAATCCTGAAAGGAGAATGGAGTACAGGGGATTGCAGTATGGCCACTCCCCCAGAGGGTGGTTTCTCACTTTCTGTCTCTCTGTCTCACTCTGTCTCTCCAGTGAGCACATGTGCCCTTTAGCAAAAAAGAAAAGTAAAAAAACCTTGTATGACTCTACTCAGGTATACACAACAATAGAATTTAGGCATGAACATAGAAAGACTTCAGATACATAATAAAGGCCACTTCTTTAGAAATATTCAGATTTTAAACATCAATGTCTCAAAGGATTGAAGTTGTAACAGGGGAATAATTGGAAAGTAGAGTTTTGGGAAACAAGTAACCCTGCTCATGCCAACCTCACTAACTTGTGTTGGTCCACATCTGCAGGAAAATATTTCAACTTTGTGTTGACCCTAGTGACTTAAAATCGTATGACTATCGAACTTTATTAAGAACATTAAAAAACAGTACATTTAACAAAGGTATGGCTATTTTCATATATTGCTTATTACATTTTTCTTGCCATATTTTTACCTAAAGCCAGACCAAAAATCTTCCTCTAAGGCACTTAGTAGTATATGCTCTTCACATACAAAATCCCTTTGGTTAACATACAGCATTCAGATATCTATTGGCAATGCACTTCTGTGAAACATTGATGATATTTGAAAATAGTAAACTTCAACATGATCCTGCAACCTTGAGGGGAAAACATACAAATCACAAAAACATTTCTGGTCAAGCACATTATAACTAATATTCATCACTTTAACTAATATTCATTCACTAATGTGAATTCAGGAAAAGTTTAAAACTATTTGTGCATCAAAAGGAAAAGGGTTAAAGGCAGAATCATGGAGGGCCCTAAGTGAGCCAGTGAGCCAGCCCTAATTAGTAATCTAGCTGTGCCTCTAGCTGTAGGGGTAACTAATACAAGTAAATCCATAATTTAGACGCCTATGTGGAAATTCAAACTATAATAGAAAATTAAAGCCTTATTCCTTTACAAGGAATTCATGTTACTTTTCAGACAAGCATCTCTCTGGTGCATTTTAAATATGATAAAACATCAGAATAACCATATATTCCAATAAATATAGGCATTCTTCACCTAAAATTTGAGGTATTATCTTTGGGTACTATGTTCAGAATGTATGGCTCATTCTTATGAATATTGTTTTGGCGGCAATAGATTTGCAGGTAAAAGGGGATAAGTAAAAGCCAAGTAGCACCTCCTAAATACCTGGTACATAAAAGGTGCTTTGTGAATTTTGGTTAAATATGGTAATCAAGGATATGATAGTATTTTTTACTGAATAAAAGGATTAAGAAATTTGCTTGTATCTCTTAAATGGAATACCCGAATATTTTGTACCTGTTACTTTGATTGTCTATAATTAAATTTACAACCTCTTCACTGAGGGCATAAATACTGGGTTAGTTTCCAAATTAAGAGAAAAGAATATGAAAATTATTCATCCTAGGAACTAGCTTACCTCCGCTTCTTCTACAGGCCGGAGTTAATGACAATGGATCACAATCCAGAAACATGATGGCAGCATCAGTCTAATAGGCCAGATCTGATCAACCTAATTCTGGATCATGAGGAAAGTCTATGTCTAAAAGTACAAGCCCTTAGAATTCTAGATTTAATTAGGGACCAGTAGGTAGTGTAATGGCTATGTCGCTGGACTCCCATGTAGTCGACAGCAGTTCGAGTCCCAGACCCGGTGGCTTAAACTCACACCAGGCACATGTGCGTGCGTGCCCAAGATCCTGAAGGGAGAATGGAGGAGAAGAGATTGAGGCATGGCTATCACCCCTGGGAGGTGATTTCTCGCTTTCTGTCTCTCTGACTCTGTCTGTCTGGTGAGCGCACGTGCCCTATAGCAAAAACCTCTCAAAAAAATATTTTTTAAAAAAATGAATTCTAGATTTAATTACAGAAGTATCTTTAAAAAAAAAATAGGAGCCAATAATTCATGGGCATTCTAAATACTCTTGCTATCTAAAAGCTATCTGGAATTACTAAGCAATATCTACACCATACTCATGAATACTGGTCCACTGGATCAAAGTGTTGCTAGTATCTGGATCCTGATGACTTGATGAGTTTCCTATTCTTGCCCCAGCCCCATCAAGATCCCTACAACCTATTCTCTGAAATATTACAAAAATGACAAACGCAAAACATCAGATGTTCCTGAAAGCTGGTATAAAATTAAAAATAGGACAGCCAAAACTCTGCAAGTAACTTCTCTGATGGGAACAATTTTTTCCAAACTGAATTAGAGAATGATTCTTTCTTAGGCACCTAAAGAAAAGTAACAAAACTGCTGAGTATATTAGTCAAGATTATCTAGGAAGACTATTTTGTGGTTCATTCTTCTGAGCCCCTGAGTTATTACTGGTGTACTTGTAGCACAATTAGCAATATAATCAATATATTTTTTTGAACACACAACATGGAGAACCCTCAACTTCAATATTCCTCAGATCATCACAATACTAGTTTAGCTACAAGTCTTCCCTAAAGTGAAACTGTTTTGTTTTGTTTTTATGATTTACTTCGTTTCAAAGAGCAGGAAGCCTGCAAAGGTGGAGAAGCGCTGGTGGTCCCCATGGAGAGCGCCATTGCCCATTCGCAGCCAGACCTCATCCCCCTTAGCCAGCTTCAGCACTGCTTGGTTGCTGGATGTATCTGATTTCCCCTTCGTTTCATAGCTGGAAAGAAAGGAGGGAAGCAACTACTTAGTCTTTACAGTGAACAGCCAGGTCTTCACCAAAATCTCTCCTCTCTCTTACATTTAGGTATAGTTCTGTGATTAGAATGTGAACAAAAATGACAAGTACCACTTCTGGGACTTGCCAATAAAACTCCCACAAACACTTCTTACTCCTTCTTCTTTATGACTGTCTAGAATGTTAATACAATGACTAGGTGGACCCTGGGAGCCATATGTTGAAGCCTGGGTTTTTGAAGACTGTGAAGAAAACTCTCTCTCTCCTCTGTTCCATCTGGAAGACCCACCGTGGTTATTGTTTGATGAGATAGAGAGTTCTATTGCGTTTGAGCCATTACATCGAGACTTTGTTTGACCTCCTCTTACTCATCTATAATTTAGTACTAAAGGTGGTACTGCCACAACTCAAAAGAAAATGTGTTGGCTCATGGTCAGTCAGGGAGCAGCAGGGAGACATAAAACTGTGAACTGTAAAGCTGGAGATCCATGTTATGCTGTGACAAACATTTGTGAAAATGTGACAAGTTAGACTTTCTCTTTGTATATCTTCTCCCTCTCTTATTCATATACATGCACCTACTGGCAAAAAAAAAAAAAAAGTGTGTGTGTGTGTGTGTGTGTGTATATATATATATATAAATACATAGCCCAGTTAACAAGAGAAAAGCATATATATTATTTAATATAACTTTTATGTGATACGAGAGCCATAATAATGAAGACCCCAAGAAACAGGGAAACCTGTGTAGGTTTCAAGAAGTAGATAATTGTGGAGAAATATGAGTGCACACAGGGGCTCTGACTTAATACACTCGGGGAACTTAGCAATGTATGTGCAACTATTTTCCTGAAATAAAAAAAATGCAATATTATTTTTAAAACATTTCCTTTCTCAAAGAGCCCTAGGGCCAGGCTGCTAGGATAAGTGTCAGAGGGAACCAGCAGTTAGCGTAATGGCTATGTCACTGGACTCCCATGTAGTCAACCGCGGTTCGCATCCCGGACCCGGTGGCTTAAAACTCATGCTGGGCGCGTGTGCGTGCGTGCCCAAGATCCCAAGAGGAGAATGGAGGAGAAAGGGATTGCAGCATCACCATTCCCTTTCTGTCTCTCTCTCACTCACTGTCTGTGTGGTAAGCGCACGAGCCCTATAGTGAATAGCTCTCCAATCCAAAAAAAAATATCGAGGAGTCAGAGGGTGGCAGTAGTAACACAATGCTATGTGAGGCAGACCTACGTGGACAGGGTCTACCCCAGGAATTCCCACCCGGAGACCTCCAGCATGTCCAGGGGCATGAGTGTGCCCATGATCCAGAGCTGGGTAAAGCTGGGAGTGAATCACAGCATGAAGACTCTGTTGGAGTTCTATTTCTCCCTGTCTCTCTTACTTATGGAAGAAGGAAATTCATAAACTGAAAAGAATCCAAATGATGGTGATGTGGAGTGCTGCTAGTAATGAACTCAAAGCCTCTCATCAACTCGCTGATGCTCAAATCCACTAGATTTATTTCTTCCCAAATAGAAATGATAATCTGGTCATGCATAGGCCTAGGGGGCTGTAACTGAGGACAGTGGTCATTGGGCTCTCTTGAACCTGTACAGGTCTCTGTCATTGAGTATCCTCTGAGCAAACAATGGCAGCATGGATAAGACTAGTGAGAAAAGGCCACCCACCTGTACATGCTGAAGACTGTATTGCCATTGTGCATGAGGTACACATAGACTTCTTCAACGTCTTCATGCTTCATCATGCTGAAGGTGAAGAAATACACACCTAAAAAAGGAGGGCATCATCCATGTTTATACTACCATTTACACACTGAGGATATGGAGATAGCATGCAGAAATGCCAAGTAACTTTGCACTTCTTTTGCTGATATGCTAGAATGTAGTTTCTTCTTGGCTTTTATTTGCATGTATGTCCCTTTTTCTGCTCACTTGCAAAGTGCTTTAAAAGTTGTTGAGACTTTTTCAATGTGCATACTGTGTATCCCTAATAAAATTATAAAGTTTTTAAGGGAAGGAGTCTACTTTACTTCAGTTGTATTTCATAGCCTTTTCCCCTTAGGGTGAGGTATATCTTCTTTCTATGTACAAATAGATATCATCAGTATCTACCATAGGGTCCATATTAATAAGGTACATAGAGTCCTGTAGATGAGCACAAAATATTCCTTGGCTAAGAACAGGGGCCAAGGGGACCAGCAGTTGGCATAATGGCTATGTCGCTGGACTCCCATGTAGCAGACCACGGTTCAAGTCCCAGACCCAGTGACATAAACTCACGCTGGGCGCATGTGCATACATGCCCAAGATCCCAAGAGAAGAATGGAGGAGAAGGGATTGTGGTCTCGCCATCCCCCCCTGAGGGGTGATTTCTCGCTTTCTGTCTCTCTTTTCTCTCTGTCTTTCTGGCGAGTGCATGTACCCTATAGCAAAAAAAAAAAAAAAAAAAAAAAAAAAAAGAGCCGGAGCCAAGCACAACATTAGAACAGGTGACTGTACTTGGCAAAGGGGTTAGATAAAAATAAGGATATACTGAAACACAGAATGAATGTTTATTAGTTCTAAAGAAAGTTCCAGTGATTTCTCACATTACTAATTGTAAACTGGTGAAGTTATGTGGATAAATAATCCAACTTTGATACAACCAAACAATCTTACTAAAAGTCTGTATTCTCCTCATCCAAAAAAGACCAATGTATTTTAAAGGACATTTTCTTAAAGGCCGTAGGGCTTCCACTGTACTGTTGGAAAAGTCATGACACATTTTTGCATAGAAAAAATATGTCATGACTTTTCTGACAACCCAATAATTTAATACGACCTGATATATTCCTAAATACCAATATAGAAGATAGTTTCACTGAATGATTAAGAAGAATCCAATAGGGAGGGATTAAGACCACCAAAGACCTTCTGCCAAGACTTTACCCTCCTGTTCCCCAGATCTAGCCTGCCAGGTTGGAACACCCTACTTATTCTCTCTGTCTCTCTCCATCTCTCTATATATAGTTTTAAATTTTTTTTAACTTTTAAACTTCTTAGCTCTCTTGCACTCTTTTGTCTTGATAATTCTTACTTTTCCACTGCCCGCCAACCAGCAGCCATCTATATCTGAGTTCTGAGAGGCCCCATGAAATGAGATGCTCCATCCAGCACACCACATGGTTTTCATTTTTTGGTCAAAATAATATTTTTTTATTGTTTCTGTCTTTTTTTCTCTTTTTTGTTTTTTTCTTTTCCTTTTCCTTTTTTTTTTTTTTTTTTTCTTTTTCCTTCCTCACTTTTCTGTTCAGCCTCCACACACTAATTTTCTAGACAGGTCTAGGTGATCAGTAGCCAAATACCTGAATACTTCTAGAGTCAGATTAACCCTCAATTTCCACTGAATCAGCTGCGCAAAGAGAGAAAAACATTACTGTTTAGAGACTTCAGGTTACCTCTTCCTGTATTCTTCTGAATGCTAAGACTTAACTCCAAAAACGTATAATCCATCAGATGACCAGAAAACCACTGCAGAGGCACAAGAAATATGAGAAACCAAGAAAATATCTCTCCTCAAGGGAAAAGAATAACTCCTCATCCTTCACAGACAATACAAGGGAACTTGTGGAAATGTCAGATAACTAATTTTGAATATTTATAGTGACAAAGCTAACAGAGAGGCAAGAGAGGAGACACAACAAACGACAGGAAATGCAAGAGAAAAGAGACAACAAGTTCCAGGAAGTGAGGAAGTTCTTGCACAATCTGAAAGAGAAGATACACATCATAAAAAAGAATCAAACAGAATTGTTAGAGATGAAGGCTGTAATACAGGAAATCAAAATCTCTCTTGAAAATATCAAAAGCAGATTAATCATGCAGAATATTGAATCTCAGATGTAGTAGAACCTCTGCCCTAGAAAACATTCACCAAAAAAACTGAGCAAATAACCTCCAAAAATGAGAATAGCATACGAGTAATACTAGATACCATCAAACACCCAAACATCTGGATCATCAGTATCCCAGAAAGTAAAAAAAATAATAAGGGCATTGATAATCTATTCATGAAATTCTGGAAGAAAATTTTCCAAACCCAGAGAGGCATTCAAATATCCAGACCGAAGAAATACAAAGGACCCCACATAGAATCAACCCAAGAAGATCTTCCCCAAGACACATCATAGCCAGATTGACCAAAACCACAGACAGAGGCAAGATACTAAATTTAGCAAGAGAGAAACATCAAATTACTTTCAAAGGATATCCCATCAGGCTAATGTTGGACCTCTCATTGGAAACAATGCAAGCAAGGAAAGAATGGGAAAACATATTCAAAGTATTAAGTGAAAAACAATTTCAACCAAGTATACTATACCCAGCAATATTATCTTTCTTATGGGAAGAAAAGACAAAAACATTCTCAGATAAACAAAACCTTGAAAGAATTTACCAGCACCAGACCAACTCTCAAAGAAGTGCTGAAGGGAGTGCTATACCAGGAGAACTAAAGTCAGACACAAAGAAATAAGAGTACAAAAAAACAACCAGAAGAATGATCAGCCTAATGATAGGGACAAGTCCAAAGTTGAATGTTAACCTAGAGTTTAAATGGAAAGATCAGACCACAGTAACACGGCAAATTCAACAGGAAAGAGATTAATTACATGAAATAGTGAAATAGAAGAGAGATTAATTACCTGAACTATTGAATAGAATTATTTTACTTTAGTCTAAAACATTACTGATTTTCTTCTATTCTTTGATTTCCATATTTAAGGATTTTTGTCTTTTCTTGAACTGTTGATAGGTTCGTCAACCTACTATTTGAACTGAATCCTAACATTTTTCCTGGCTTTAAGTTTTAAGAAAATTTCTCTTAACATTTTTTTATTTTGGTCTATTAAAACTAAAACCATTTCTCTTGAAATTAAAAAATGCATTAAAAATACCTATTAATACCTATTAATACCTATTTTATTTGGCAGTAAGCTAGATAACCCCAGTGAGGTGCTACTTTATAGTATGTTCACTGTACTCACTGAGGTTCACACCTGAAGTCGGACATGTGTTCCTAGATATGTCTATATTAGCTGTGATTGCTATTGAAAGTTTTTAAATTAATTAAAATCTTTAATGAATCAATAAAATGTGAAAAAAAAAAAGGCATGGAAACACAACTGTAGATATCAGAGACAGTGTGAAAGAAGGGGAGAATTGGCAGAGGATGAGAGGTAGGGAATCGGGGCTGGAGGATAAAGCAAAATACATAAGAAACAGAAGTAGAAAAATTTTTGCTGACGATAACATGTATGGTAATATGCTCGATTGAGCCAATATGCAATGTGTTCTGGGTGGAAAATCTCATTTTGTATACTGTATTGATGTACAGTGAATGACTATAAATAAGTGGTAAATAAATAATTTTTTTAAAAGGAAAAAAAGAATCCATTAGGGACCAGCAGGCATTGTGATGGTTGAGGTGCTGGATCCCCACATGGCCAACTGCAGTTCAAGTCCTGGGCCTGGCAGCTTTCTCACTTTCTCTCTCTCTCTCTCTCTCTCTCTCTGTCTCTTTCTAGTGAGTACACATGACCTATAGCAAATTTTAAAATAATAATAATGAATAAAATTAAATAAATCATAAAAGAAGAAGAATCCAATAGCAGACAGATAAGCTAAAATGAACATCTTCCCAACTCCAAGTGATCTTGGATTCTAGAGTGTATTTTTGAAAGGTAAATTACCATAAATCATCAAGCTCTTACTGATTTTCATTTTACATTTTAAAACTAATGGTTGTGCAAGAGAAAAACTCAAAAACATGATTAAAAAACGTAAAAAAAAAAAAAAAAAAAAAAAAAAACCGGCTAGTTTTTTTCCAAAGATCCTATCAAGCCAGAGAGAAGCTGTAAGGGTGCCCTTTGATATATTTGATTCTGTGTCCAGTCAAACCAAATAAAGAAATATGATTACATTTTGTTTAATGCCAGAAATGGATATTAGATGTGCTAGGAAGAAAGAAATGGGAGCCAGCAAGTGCGTAGAGGTTATGGTACCTGGATCCCACATGATCCACTGTGCAGTTTGAGTCCTGGACCCAGTGGGCTGAAAAACATGGTAAGTATATGTGCATGTGTGCTCTAAATCCCAAGAAGAGAATGGAGGAGAACAGATTGCCACATGGACATCCCCCTTGAAGAGTGATTGCTCATGTTCCCTCTCTCTCTCTCTCTCTGGCAGGTCTACACACCCTATAGCAAAACTGAAAAAAAAAAAAAGGTCATGCCCGTTCATACATCTAGAGATTTTCCCACAAATGAAAATAAAAGGCAGATAAAAATGAAAAGGCTCAAAGAAAGTAATTTAGATATTGTCAGGTTGTTACATTTTTACAAAACTTTATATTAGACACACACAAGACAATTTTTAATGCCTCAAGAAGATAAAGCTGGAATCATAATAACAAATAAATTTTTTAAATTTAAATTTAAAAAATTGGTAAAAATGTTAAAATATGAAACAATTGCAGAAATATTTTATAAAAAGCAGAGTCAGGGCCCACAGGTACTGTGGAGATTAAGAAGTCTGGATCCCACATGGACAAATGTGTGGTTCAAGTTCTGAACAAGGTGGCTTGGAAAACACATGCATGCATACCTAAAATCCCAAGAGAAAGATGGAGAAGGGATTAAGGTGTGCTCAACACCCTGGGGGATGATTTCTCACTTTCCTTCTCACTCTGTCTCTGTCTGGTGAGTGCACATGCCCTATAGAAAAACAGAAAAGAAAAGGAAAAAAAAAAGAAAGGGAAGGAAAGGAAAGAAAAAAGAAAAGGCAGAATAAGAAACTGGGTGGTGAAGAAATGAAATGCCTAGTGTTGGAAATACAGAAACGAACATATACATGTTACATATTATATCCACACATAGCTTTCCTCTTCAAGGAAAGATTACTAAAACCAAAGGCAATACTTGCATTTTCAGGCCTTCCTGTTGCTGTAATTACAAAAATAAGCCTTCTTATTACTTCCAAAGTTGAAAGAGTAACATAAACTTTCAGAATAGAAAATCACATAAGAACTCTTAAAGTTGAGCAAGTGTGATGAAAGATCGCCTCTTCTTCTGAGACACGAGAATGTAAGGTTCTTGTGTGAAAACCTCAGATGTGGTAATATCCTTGATTCGATTATCACACACTGCTTGTATGCTTTGAAAAACCATATTGCATGTCATAAAGATGTACAACAATAAAATGTAAATAAGAAATTGTAAAATTTAAAAACTCAAAAAATAACAAGAAAAATTGCTTCAATCCTTTCATATGTCAGTTCCTTTCTGACTTGAGCTGTGTAGAAAATAAATAAAAGCATGAATTAAAAGCATTGTATGGCCCATCCCAGTTGGTACACAGAAGCACACTGTTCATGGGGCTAGAAGCCACTTGGGAGGCCCAGGTGTGGTTCCCGGGCCAATCCAAACACTCTGGGTACAGTTATGTGTAACTGTAATCATAGCTAATTGGAAGGCTGGGGCAAGAGTATCACAACAGGGCGAGACCCTGTCGAAAATACTTATTTGTCTCTCTCCCTTTCCCTTTCTTTCTCCCTCTTTCTCTGTCTTATTAAAGAAAGGAAAAGGAAAAGAAAAGCATTTGTGACAAATCTAACATGCCCACTCATCTATTAAATTTTTCTTCCTTTTCCTTCTAGATGCCATAGAGAAAAACAAAGAGAACTGTAAAACCAAAACTCAGAGAGTATTATACTAATTTTCTTTTCTTTTTTTTGCCCATTTTTACATTAAATCACTGCATATCTTTACAGCATATGAAGCGAATTTTCCCAGCATGAATACACTATATATTAGACCAGACAAAGATATTGCCATACACATTATCATCAACAGATAATTTTCCATTTGTGTGTCCTTTAAATGCTTTGCTTCTTTTTTTTAACCTTGATTCCTTCCTTCCTCCCTCCACCCCACTGCCCACCCTCCTCTCACACTAGTATCCAGTCATTCTCCATGGTTTATATTTCCTAATCTTTCCGTTTCTGCCGTAGAAAGCAGGCAGCCAGTATATATTAAGTGGAGATATACAGTGCCTCTCGTTCATAGTCTGGCTTGTTTCACTTAGCATAAATCTTCCATATTCATCCTCTTTTTATCAAATGCCTAATTTTCTACCAAACTAGGAAACTGAAAATCTTGGTAAACTTCAAATACCTGTAAGTCTTGCTAAATACAACAGAGGGTAGATAGAGTCACATAGAAGCAATAAGGGGTTTCGGCATGGGTTCCAAGGAGGCCAGGGAACACCAGATCTCAAACAGTGCTCCCTAATAAGAAGTGTCACTCTTTTTCTTTCTTTTTTTTTTTTTTTAAATTGCCAGAGGGAAAGTACACTGGCCAAAGAAAGAAAGAGACAGAGAAAAGGAGAAGGAGAGGGAGGAAGCACCACCCAATGTGGCATGACCGTACTGCAATCTCTTCTCCTCCATTCCTCCATCCTGTCAGGACTTTGGCAGGCATACATGTGCTCCCAGTGTATTGTTCAAGCAGCCAGGGCGGAGATTTGTATCATGGTCAGCTATGGGATCTGGTTCCCTTAATAATAGGCCACAGGGCTGATCTAAGAAGGGCCATTATGAAGTGCTGAAACTGAAAAGAAGCTCCATGACCATGAGGAGGGCTGAGATGAAGTAAGTCTGTGTTTGGGGGAAGATTACTAGATCAAATACAGAATGCCAAAAGTGTTCCTGCAGTGGCAGGTCTCAGCATCTGCCAGCAAAACCAGGGCTCCTAAAGGCAAGCGAATGGCAAGTGCACATCTTAGACTTGGGGCAGACTGGGGAGGCAGAGGAAGTGTGGCCACGGGAGGAAAGCACAAGGAGGGGTCATACTTAGAATTGGTCAGTCCCTGGTGGTAGCAGAAGGAGCTGCTTAGTTATCACCAGAAAGAAACAAAGAATGGGGGAGAGGAGAAAGCATCCCCCATGGGGCATGGTCACACTGCAATCCTTCCTCAACCTATCCTTCCCTCCTTTTGACACACACATGTGTCCAGTGTTTTTCTCAAGTCACTTGATCCAAGACTTGAAATGTGGGTTCATCCATGTGAGATCCAGCTGCCTTAACCACCAGACCATGAAGCAGGGCCTGTAAAGCATTTTAAGCTTATTTTATTTTATTTTATTTATATGAGAAAGAGGGAAACCCCTGATAGAATCCCAGTGAGGACTACTAGCTGGCATGCCCAGCATGTTTAGGTCAACCAAGAATCTGAGCCCAGGGCCTTCCCATTTGACTCTAGTATCATATAACGGCCCCCTACTACTACCTGTGTCACTAAGACTGGGCCTAAAATAACATTATTTATCAAATGTTCAGACACTTAAAAGTACATTTTGCTGATGGGGCTACTGGAAAATAAGTGCTCTCATACCTTGACAACGGAAGTATATTGGTACAACTTTACAGAGAGCAGCTTTGCAAAACCAATCAAACTTGACAGGCGTATTTACTCTTCGACTCAGCAATCCTACTCCTGGTACTTTTGTCTATAAATATACCTGTAATGGCTCAATTGCAGAATAGTAAATGCAAAGATAATCATTGCATGCTTAGCCAGACTGGCACAGCCTTAGGGCACTGCTGCATAATCCTGAGACCACGTGAGAAGGACTGGTTTGGATCTCTGGTTGACCCGAACACCCTGCGAACACCCATGTGTGCCTATAATCCTGGCAGGCTGGGAGGCTGGAGACTGGCGATCATAATGTGGCACTTGTATTTCTCTCATGAAAGAAAGAAATAAAATAATCATTTTTAAAATAAAGATCATCATGTAGCCTTGTTTTTTCTTTTTAATTTGCTAGAGGGTACATTTACTTACCAGAGAGACAGGGAGATGGGCAGTGGGAAAGTATCCCTATGGGGGATAGCCACACCACAATTCCTTCTCTGCCATCTGCCCATCCTGTCAGAATTTGGGCACACATATACATACACGTGCCAAGCATATTTTTTCAAGTTGTAAGGTCCAGGACTTGAATGTAGTTAGCATGCAGGATCCAGCTGCCTTAACCACCATGGCACTGGCTAGCTCAGTTTTGTTTTTAGTAACAAAAAACTGGAAACGACATAAATGTCCAGCAATAAAGGAATGGTCAGCCTGGCCCTATAGCACAGGGGTTAAGAAAGTTAGATCATACATGGCCAATCAGAATTCCAGTTCTAGTGGTTTGGAAAACATGAAGGCATATGTGTACATATGCCCAAAATCTTGGCAAGAAGGAAGAATGGAGGAAAAAGGATTGCAAAATGGCCATTGCCCAACTGGGAGGTTCTTCCTCTCTCTTTCTCTCTTCCCCCCTCATTGCCTCCTTCTCTCTGTCTCTGGCAAGTGTGCGCATTGTCTAACAATAAATAAATAAATAAGAAAATAGTACTTCCAGCTATAAAAAGAATGACAGGGAACCAGCAGTTAGCGTAATGGCTATGTCGCTGGACTGCCACGTAGTCGACCACGGTTCGCATCCCGGACCTGGTGGCTTAAAACTCATGCCGGGCGTGTGTGCATGCGTGCCCAAGATCCTGAGAGGAGAATGGAGGAGAAGGGATTGCGGCGTGACCATCCCCCCTGGGGGGTGATTTCTCGCTTTCTGTCTCTATGTCTCTCTCTGTCTGTCTGGCAAGCACACGTGCCCTATAGCAAAAATCTCTCCAAAAAAAAAAAAAAAAGAATGACATAATAATAAGGAAAGATTTCTAAAACATACTGCATTTTATTTTATAAAGCAATGTTCAGTCCGGACATAGAGTATGATAGATTTCATAAAACAAAGAAAGATACACTTTCATAATATACTTTCATAAACTGACAGTTTTGGCTTTTTATATATATAAATATATTACCTACTCAAATTTTTAAATAAAAAATTACACATAACTATGCTCTCTTAGTGACTAATTGGCTCAGTTCAAATGAGCTAATACTCTTAATAGCCATGGCGATCAATTTTAAAAGTGTTTTTGTATTATCCAATTCCAATTCACTCACTTTGAAATCCAACAGAAATTTATATAAACTTCTTGTTTTAACCTGAATCGAAAAGAATTCTTAACTACTTTAGTGTCTTTCTTGTTTTGTGCCCTTCCCAATCCTTCCTTCTTTCCTTTTTTCCCTTCCTCCCCACCTCCTCCCTCCCTAGGTCTTTTCCTCCCTTCCTTCTTGCTTTTTTTCCCTCAGTCCTTTTTTCTTTCTTCTCTTTATGATTTCTAGGTTAATTCATTACTATTCAATCATTCACTTATTTTTACATCTCACCTGATACTGGGGCCCCAAATCTACCGGTCATGACGTCAAAGAAGTTTCCGATGTTGGTCTCAACACTGCTGAAAATAATCCCACTGTTCTGATTGCTGAAGTGAGTTGCCAGAGAAGCCATGAACGCAATCTAAGGAAAGAGGTGGCGATCAACTGACAGGCAATTTATGGTAAACAAAATTTTTATACAGGTAAGTTTATTTCAACTTATCTTGTAATGACAAGATAAGAAATAACAAACATCAATCTATGAAAAAAGTAAATAAATGATCATAATTTCTAATATTTTTATGCTACACAGTACCTGGAATGATAATATATATATCAACAGTTCTGAACATATGTTTCAAAGAAAGTGAGTCTTTTTTTAAAAGTTTATTTTATTGAGAGGGAGAGAGACAGGTACCTTCAACAGTGTCTTGTCAGACTGTGACCCCCCTCCCCTCAACTATCCATCTAGTTAAAATCTTTTTATCTTTTTTCTTTTTTTTTTGAAGGTAGGTTTTGCTATAGGGCATGTGTGCTTGCCAGAAACACAGAGAGAGATGGACTGAAAGAAAGAAATGATCCCCCCTCATGGCTGGGGGGCAAGATGGGGTGGGCGATGGCCATGCTACAATCCCTTCTCCTCCATTGTCCTCTCAGGATCTTGGACACGCATGCACATGTGCCCAGCATGAGCTTAAGGCCCCCAGGTCCAGGACTCGAACCACAGTCAACTACGTGGCAGTTTGTTGACATAGCATCATGCCATCGCTTTTCCCCATCTAGTTAAAATCTTGGGTAGTTTGTTTCAGGCTGACTCAGGATTCAAACCTATCATCAGCCACGTGGCTTCCAGTACTGCATATCCTTATGCTACTATCTGTACCACCACAACTGGGCTCGAAATGCTTTTAAAATATTACAATTCTGTGACCAGAGGCCCGCTCAGTGGCACGTAGATAGTGCCTCAGTTTGTGAGCCTGGGCGCCACACAGAGGCCCAAGTTTGGTTCGAGAGCTAACTGAGAGTCTGGGGTAGGAAGACTGTGACATGGCAAGACCCTGTCAAAAATATGTCTCTTGCTCTCACTCTCACTGTTTCATTAAAAAAGAAAAGGAAGCCAGGCCTCGAAGGATCCAGGCCACTTCTGATGTAACCATGGCCACTAACGCTCCTATGAACCCATCACACCTGCTGCAGCTAGAGCTTGTGTACAGATGAATAGGATCAAGAATTCACACTGTGATGAGAAGTGATAAGGAAATTGTTGGTACATGTCTAGGATTTGATGACTGTCAACATGGTACTGGAAGATGTCACTGAATTTGAAATCGCACCAGAAGGAAGAAGGATTACTAAATTAGATCAGATTTTGCTAAATGGAAATAATGCAACAATGCCGGTTCCTGGAGGAGAAGGACCTGAAGTATGAGTGGATATCCTAGACTCATGCTAGATTCTGTTTTGTCTTATAATGGCAACAAAAAAGAATTTTTTTAAACCTTTTCATGTTTAGAATCTGTAAAGCTGTTCCCTGTTAAAGGGAAATGCTTTGAAGATGTATACTCATTTTTGTAAGTTAATCATGATTATTTTGGAAAAAGAAGAAAAGTTTGTTTTTTGAAGACTAAAATGAAGTTTCTGTTAAAAGAAAAAGAAGAAGAAGAAAAGGAAAACTAGTTTGTTATCAATTAACACTGGGAAAAATCTGAATAAAGTTCTCTGTAAGTACATTAGGATCTGAGAAATCTTAGTTAAACATTTAATTTTGTTAAAATGCATTATTTTACCCCAAAAGATGTGTGTTAGCTTTCTATAAAATAAGTTGCTTGAACATCCTCTGAAAATCCTGGGATAATCTTTAAAAGGCAAAAGGGAATGTTTGCGATTATCAAAAAAAAATTCTTAGAAGGTTTAGTAAAATTAGCAATCCATAGAAATATTGAAAAGCAAGAATTTCTGGGCATAATTTTGTATAAAAAATGTCCTTTTGGAACAGTAAATTTAGATTAGGAGGATCTGGGAAGTCATTTAAAGTTAGTACCCATCCCTGGGACTAGTTACAAATACTTTATGTGTTGTTGCAACAGGAATTTTGAAAATCATTCAAAAGAGAAATAAAAAATAGATAAGTGAGTATTTGAGCTCAGAATAAAATATAACCTTATAAATGAAATAAAAAAACATCATTCTGAAATGGATACGATCTGAGAAACTGCGAGTGAATAACTAAAAACGAAGTGTCTCCAGTGATAGAAAAGACAGTCAGGCCAGTCAGTGGCATAGTGGTTAAGATGGCTGAATCCCACATGGCTGACTGTGTGGTTTGAGTCCCAGATCTGACAGCTTGGAAAACATTGCTTCCATGTGTGTGTGTGCTCAAAATCCTTAGAGGAGAATAAGAAAAAAAAGGGATTGCAGTGTGGTCGTACTTCTTCTGCAGAGTGATTTCTCACTCTCTTTCTCTGTCTCTCTCCCTCCCTCTCTCTCCTTCCTCCCTCTTCTCTCTCTTCCTCCAGTAAGCACACCTGCACTATAGCAAACCTAAAAGAAAGAGAAAGAGAAAGAGAAAGAAAGAAAGAAAGAAAGAAAGAAAGAAAGAAAGAAAGAAAGAAAGAGAGAGAGAGAAAGAAAAAAAGAAAAGAGAGAAAGAAAAAGAGAAAGAAAGAAAGATACTGATAACAGAAGTTTAAATAAAGATTGTTCAAGCCAACCCGGACCTGGTGGCTATAGCAGGTAGATCCCACATGGTCAACTACATAGTTCAAAGCTTGGCCCCAGCAGCTTGAAAAACACCCAAGCACATGTGCATACTTGACCAAAGTCTCCACAAAAGGGAGATAAGGAAGAGAAGGGATTGTGGCATGACTATGCCCCATAGAGGGTGTTTTCTTCCTTTCTCTCAAGCTCGCTCTCTCTCTCTCTCTCTCTCTCTCTCTCTTTCTCTGGTGAGTACATGTACTCACTGGCAAAAAAAAAAAAAGTTGTTCCACAGTCCCAGCTATGGTGCAGTGGTAGGGCATCTCAGCACAATACTGAAGCCATGTGGGAGTCCTGGGTTTGGATCCCAGGTCAATCTGAACATGCTGGGCACACCTGGCATCCTGACTGGCTGGAAACCTGGAAAGGGGGATTGTAGTGTGGCGAGACCTGTCAAGAATACCTCCCCACAGTATCTCTCCCCGAAGAAATAAATAAACTTAAAAAAAAAAGTTATGCACTGTCTCTCCCCCAAGAAATAAATAAACTTAAAAAAAAAAGTTATCATAAAATCTAATAGGAAACAATATATAATGTCTGTGTTATGTGACTTAAATATGTAAATGTAACAAAATTAATAAGTAAAATACTATAAATAGATTTTCACCATTCCATTCATACATCTAAAAGTTTACATATTCAAGTTGGCCAAAACCCTTTGACCTATCTTCTCATTCACAAAATAGGAGCCGGGTTTGTATCTGTTCCTGTGAGGGAGTTGAATTTCACACTTTATAAATTTCTCTCCTCCCTCAGAATGGCCTCAAACCCTGTTTGGACAGCAATGGACCTTAAGTGAACATCTTGTGATGTAGATAAATAAAGTGAAATTCAGATTTATTCAGGGTAGCAAAGGCTTAGTGCAGCCCTCAAACCTTCACCTCCCTGGTGCCTCTTAGGCAAGAAAGATGGCTTACCTGCAGCTCTGGCGGGATTCCCGGGTAGCCCTTCTCTCCTTTGGGGCCGTGCTGCCCCCGTTCTCCTCGAGGCCCCAGGTCACCTTTGTCTCCTTTATCACCCTTGGCCCCTTCATGGCCAGTGGCTCCGTTATTGCCATTGTTTCCATGGTTTCCTTAAACAACCAGACATCTTTGCATGAGAAATCCCAGTCACTTATACTCACCATCTATTTCTAGACAAACACAGCTCTTTCTTCAAAAATATTCAAACTCGAGCAGACCATTTGAAATATTCCCAAATACAGTGAAGGGGTAACATCAAATGGGATCTCTTTCTCTCACTTTCTCATGTAAAAAAAAAATGTATGTATATATGTACACATATATATAAATAAAATATTTTATGATATAGAATAAACTTCATGATATTGTTAAATTTAAAAAACAATAAATAATAGGGATAGCGTAATACTATTTTTCTTATATAATATACATGTATATATTCTTCTATGGGGAAAAATAACTAGAATAAACTACTTGAAAAATTTACAGTGTTTTTTTATTTTTTAGAGTAGAAGAAATGTGAGTAAATTTTAATGTCATTCTATACGCTTCTCTGCCTCTGAAGTTTTCTAGAAAGGATATGTATCATTTACAACTAGAGGAAAGGTAAATTCATTAATAAAAACATCCTAACAATTATTTTGAAAGCAAGAGTTGGACAACAATTATACTCCTCACTTGGCCACCAAGAGATGATTCCCATATCTCTTTCTTATTTTTAGCTTTGCTAAATATAATTCCGCAATAATCCCCCAAATAGACAGGTGAGATTACATCAGATTAAGGAGTAATAGCATAGCAAAGGACACTGTAATTAGTGTGAATTGACAACCCTCAGAATGAGAGAGAATTTTTGTTAACTGTGCCTCAGATAAGGGACTGATAACCAGAATACACAGGGAACTCAAGCAGCTTACCTAGAAGAAAATGATTAACCCAGTTATAAGACGGAAAAATGAGCTGAATAAACAACTCTCTAAGGAAGACATATGAACAGCCAAAAAGCATATGAAAAAATGGTCAACATACTTCATTGTAAAGGATATCAAAACCAGAATGAGATATCACCTAACCCCAGTCAGAATGGTGAAGATTAAAAAAACAAATAATGATAAATGCTGGAGGGGATGTCGTGAAAGGGGACACTCCTATACTGTTCATGGGAACGTAAATTGGTCCAGCCACTGTGAAGAATGATATGGAAGTTCCTCAAAGACTTTCAAATAGAACTACCATATGATCCAGCAATTCCACTCCTGGGTATCTACCCAAAGTACAGGAGGGCACTCAGTTGGAAAAGCACTTGCACACCTATATTCATTGCAGCCTTATTCACGATTGCTAAGACATGGAACCAACCCAAATGTCCACAAACAGATAAATGGATTGAAAAATTGTGGCACATATATTCCACAGAATACTATTCAGTCATAAAAAACCACAAGGCCCTGGAATTTGATAGAAAGTGGGTGAATATGGAAGATTTGTTGCTGAGTGAAGCAAGTTAGGCTATGAAAGAGAGACATTGTATGTCTCCACTTAACATATATTGACTATGTGCACACTATGGTAGAGACTGAAAGACCGGAGAACATAAAAGTATTAAAAATTATAATGGACACTAGAGACAAAGTGGAAATAGAGTGTGGGAGTGGAAGAATGTAGGAAATTTGGGGGGCGGGGAACGGAGAGGTAAGACACTTGTGGGACACAGATAAGTGTTTATTATCTGTTGACAAAGATGTGTATGGTGGTCTCAACTGGGCTGAACTGAGGTGTATATCATGCTGAGTAAAGGCTCTTCTCAATCTAAATGATGTATAGCAATTTAATATATGAATAGTAAATATATATAAATAAAAAAATAATTTATTTAAAAAAATACTTGCTCCGTTCCAGGCTCTTTCAGTGTTTATTTTGCATTCTACCTTTGATCAGATAGCATACCTGGTTTCTAATCCTTCCAAATGGATAAATGCATGTTTTCATGCATTTAGGGGCAAAGCTGTTTCCTACAAGGAAACATCTAACCTGTCCTATAATCTCAGAATAGTTTAAAAGAAATTAAGAAGAAAATAGAGAGGCAAGACATTTATGGAGCACAGAAATGGATAGTTGTCTGTTGATGGTAACGTGTATAGTACATAGTATCCTCACCTAAATTGGTGTTAGGTGTATTTGTGTTGAGTAAATTCACTTTACAAGCCAAGTAATGTACAGAGATTGAGTGTATAAAATAATTTTTTTAAAAAGAGAGAGTTTAAAGGTGAAAAGATTTCAGAAGGGTTTGAATATTCCTCTATCCCAAATCACTGCACCTGCAAACTGCTGCCCTGGATGGGCAATGACATAGGTTTCAACCCAGTAATTTAAAGGCTAACAGAGGACTTTTAACTATAAAATTGATTTCATAAGAGAAGCCACTCAAAAGTATTAAAACATTAAATGGCTTCAATAAACATTAACATCAGGGGCCAGCAGTTAGTGTAATGGCTATGTCGCTGGACTCCCACATAGTCGACTGTGTTTCGCGTCCTGGACCCAGTGTCTTGAGACTCACGCCGGGCGTGTGTGTGTGCGTGCGTGCCCAAGATCCCGAGAGGAGAATGGAAGAGAAGGGATTGTGGGGTGCCCATCCCCCCTGGGGGGTGATTTCTCGCTTTCTATCTCTCTGTCTCTCTCTGTCTGTCTGGCGAGCGCACACGTCCTATAGCAAAAACCTCTCCAAAAATAAAAAATAAAAATAATAAATAAACATTAACATCAGTGCGGGTAACTCAGAGGAGAACAAGTGGATTTTGGCCAAAGAGGTCCTAACCCAGGGGTTGACCTGAGGACGAGGAAGACAATAAAACTCCCAACAGATTTAGGAGTCCTAGGGTGGGGGACCTGGGCTTCCCTTCCCTCAGTTGGTCCTGGGTACCACCAAGCTCCTTGAACTACCATGAGCCTGGGGGCCCCATGGAGTAGGAAGCTGAACTGTGGATCTTCAGGGGCAGGGTGTAGCTACAGTGCATTCCCCATGCCATGGTGTGGTTCTGAAGCCTAAAAAATGTTTCCATGAGCCCAAGAGATGCATGAAAGTCAACTTAGAGACCACTGGACATGGAGAGACTCTGAGACAGAGGTTGAAGGAACAAGGACTTAACTAGATGTAGGGTCACATGGAAGGATATGCAACTTAATGAGTGACACCATGGAGATGCCTATAAGCCAAGCCATAGCTCTCCTCTCTACCCCACTTCATATTCCTGAAAGTCAGGTACGTGTATTATATAAAGCATGAGGTGGTAGAGATATTGAAACCAAAAATATCCCAATTAAGATCGAGTTGTTTTGGAGCCAACAGGTGGTGTGGTGGTTAAGGTGCTTGATTACCACCTGGCCAACCACAGTTTGAGTGCCGGATCTGGTGGCTTGAAAATCGTACTGGGTGCATGTGCATGTGGGCCCAAAATCCCAAGAGGAGAATGGAAAATAAGGGACTGTGGTATGGCTGTCCCCTCCAAGAGATTAATTCTCCCTTTCCTGCTCTCTGTCTCTCTCTATCTCTCCAGCAAGTACACGCACCCTATGGCAAAAATCTAAATAATAATAATAATCTTGTTTCATAACTTGATACTGATGAATTATCTTCCAGTCTAGGAATCTATAAGTAGTACCACAGGGTACCTACAGCCCATTGGATTCTGTGAGTGGTATAGAAAATAAATGCTACAAAGTTTACCCTATTCCATCTAGACTGACTTGATAAGCCCTACTCTACTCTCCTTCTTTGGGGTTTTCCATTCACACCTTCAGATCACACACAAGTGATCCTGCATCATCTGGGTTTGCCTTTGTCTCCTATTGTAGCCTAGTCTGCAGTTAGATAGGCAGCACATCTTGGTTATCCTTACCTGGAATTCCAGGAGGACCAGGAGGCCCAGGGGGACCTTGGTAGCCTCGGAAGCCATAATCTCCATGGCAGCACTTGCTGCAGTCAGGGGGCAGTCCTCCTGTTTGTGAAGACTTTAAAGAGAGAGAAAGAGACGCCTCAAAGAAAGGTACTTGTGAGCAATTAGGACTTTAAAATTTTGCCCAGCCTTGACCCTCAAATATATTTAATGCTAATCAATCCACAACGACACCAGAAAAGATGATGTGGGATGGAGCTGTTAGTAGCATAGGGGTCAAGGAGAGTTAAGAGATCAATATAAAGGAAAAGTGATGAAAAGGCAAGAGAAGAGCATATTCTTAGAAAAGCCTGAAGACGCAGATGGAGGAGAGGACAGTATTTCTGGAAAGTGCCCTCTTGCTATTAATTGAGAAAGTCCTTCAGAGTAGACTGGAAGAGTTTCCTCTCTTTCTCAACTTCCAGTTTCCTTGGATGTAGCTAGATTGAGCAGGTGATCCTCAAATTACAAGAAGTATCAACTTCAAACGTAGTTACTAAGCACTAACTATATTAATAATACTGGGGTGAGAGCTGGGTTGAGTTTTTAGAAACCAAATTGTCACACTAGTTTTTCTAACAGTTACAACATACTTAATTTGCCTTAGGAAATGAAGTATTCTTTAGTCCAATACATTTGTTTGTTTACATTGACAAACATGGGCCAGCAGTAGCTCAGTGATAATACAACTTGACTCACATGGGAAAGGTCCTGGGTTCCTATCTCAGGACCTCCTCGTACCAGCTATATATATATATATGCCTATGATCCAGACCAGACTGAAACTGGGGAATGATCACAGCATGGAGACCCCATTGGGAGTTCCTATCTCTGTCTCTCTTTCTCTGACTAAACAAATAAAGTTTTAAAAACAAATATATTGACAACTAAAAATTGTGTGTATTGGAGCCAGCAGGTAATGTGGTGGTTAAAGCACTGGACTCATATATGGTTGACCATGGTTTGAGTCCTAGACCCAGCAGCTTCAAAATCACACACTGGGGGGACCAGCAGTTAGCGTAATGGCTATGTCGCTGGACTCCCACGTAGTCGAGCATGGTTCGCGTCCCAGACCTGGTGGCTTAAAACTCACATTGGGCACGTGTGCATGCATGCCCAAGATCCCGAGAGGAGAATGAAGAAGAAGGGATTGCGGCGTGGCCATCCTCTCTGGAGGGTGATCTCGCTTTCTGTCTCTGTCTATCGCAAAACCCTCTCCAAAAAAAAAAAAAAAAATCACAGACTGGGCACGTTTGCATGCATGCCCAAAACACCATATGGCAAAAACTAAGAGGAGAGTGGAGGAGAAGGATTGTGGCATGGCCATCCCTTCTGGGAGGAGTGATTTCTCATTTTCCCTCTCACTGTCTCTCTGTCTCTCTCTGGCAACTGCCTGTGCCCTATAACAAAAACTTTAATACATAAATAAATAAGCTTTCTTTCTTTCCCTTAAAAAAGTACATATTTGTCACAAATGATGTGTTATTTTGAAATAGGTATACATCATGGAATGGGTAAATCTACTTATGCTTCACCTCACATAATTATCACTGTGTGTGTGTGTGTGTGTGTGTGGTGAAAACATTTAAATTCTCATACCAATTTTCAAGAACTGAAGGTATTGTTATTAAGTCCAATATAAGTTTTTAAAATGATTACATCTTGAAATAACTTTAATTTCTTCTTTAAAGCATTTAACACTAGTTCTGTTTCACACATTCCAAGTGGAAATTTAAAATGATTATCTTAATGTTTGACTAATATTTATAAGCATATAATGGGTACTAAATAAGCTCAAATATGACACTGAGTTAAGTGTTTATTTTTACAAAGATAAATTTCTAAAATTTGTGCCTTCTGTAAAGGACTAGAGACCTAGTGGAAGTTGACTGGCAGAAGAGTTAGATTTGCTTATAAAACCTGGACTCTCACCTAGCGTATGTGTGTGCATGCCCAAGATCTCAAGAGGAGCATGGAGGAGAAGGGATTGCGGTGTGGCTATCTCCTGGGGAGGGGGGGTGACTTCTCGCTTTCTGTCTCTCTGTCTCTCTCTGTCTTTCTAGCAAGCTCACATGCCCTATAGCAAAAACCTCTCAAAAAAATAAAAAATAAAAAAAACAACCTGGACTCTTACCTAAACTGACAATCTGCTTTCAATTTTCTCTCACTCTCTACCTTTCTACATATATATTTATATAATTCAGTGGTCTTTTGGATACAGAACAGTGTTGCTAAGGAAACCATTACAAAAGAAAGGGAGAGAGAAAACAAAAGGGAAGAAAGGAAGAACAGAAAAAAGAGACAAGAGATAGAGAGGAAGGAAGAAAGAAATTGAAATTCAAGTTTTCTCCAGCATTAGAAATCCAAGCAAAAAACTGGGTCAAACCTCTGCAATGCTACACGTTTAGACTTTACTTTGATTAGCTTATTTATAACCAAAAAATAGACTTGGACTTTGTCCTTAGTTTCTTATCCCTTTTTCCTCAAATTTTGCGCTAAGCTATTCAGGGAAACCATAGAACAGCATGTGCAGCCCAAGTATTTTCTGCAACAATTCAGAATGCAGTCTTGGGTGATTAGGAACTACAGTTTGGAGCTTACTCCTAGTAATGTCTTCATTCAATCAGGCCCAACCCTAGACATGTCCTAGAGCAGGGGTTCCCAGTCTCTGGGCCACGGACTAGTGCCAGTCTATGGTCTGTCAGGAACTGGGCTACACAGTAGGGAGTAAGTGGCCAGCCAGTGAGAAAAGCTTCATCTGCATTGATAGCTCCTCCCCATCGCTTATTTTACTGCCTTAGCTCTGCCTTCTGTCAAATCAGAGGTGATATTAGGCTCTCATAGGAGCTCTCCTCTAGGTGCAGAAAAACAAGCTCAGGTTTCCCACTGATTCTGCATTTTGGTGAGTTGTATAATTACATATTGTAATGTAGCAATAATAGAAATAAAGCACACAATAAATGGAATGCATTTGAATCATCCCTAAACCATCCTACCCCCAAGTACATGGAAAAATTATTTTCACAAAACTGGTTCCTGGTGCCAAAAAGGCTGAGGACTGCTGTACCCGAGTTTATGAACTCTTTTTGTTGAACTGGTAAAGGAAAGAAAATCAATTCAAACAAATGGTCTGAGATGAGGCATTTCAGGACACTGGGAAAAATCAGAGACACCATGGCACTGCCCCACCCTCTAATCTGACCTGCAATCTGAGAATAAGTGCCCCATATTTCCTGGTATGGCTTTGCTAATGTGAAATACAGCTTCTTAAGCCTTGGAAAATCTAAGACCTTGTGAATGATGGATTTTAGGGATGGAGAAACAAGGGAAATACTAGAAATTCCTGAAGTGGAAACTTTGTGCAAAAATAGAATGGAAATAGTGATATGCTTAAGAATTAGAACAACCATTGAATTGGAATCAGAATTCCCAACTTGGTTTTGTATGACTTTGAAAAAGCCACTATTCCGCAGATGTAATTTTTCTTGTCTGCTAAATTAAAGGAAAGGTTGAATAAAGCAGTCATGAATTTTTGTTCTAACTCTATGATGCAAAGATAGATATTAAAGTATTTTACAAATTCTCAAATAATAAAGAAACATTTTATTTTTCTTTTCTTTTGTTTTAATTTTGCTATAGGATGTATGCACTCATCAGAGAGAGAGAGAGGGAGCATCCCCAGGGGCATGACCACGTTGCAATCCCTTTTCTTCCATTCTCCTCTTGGGATTTTGGGCACACATGCACACATACATGGCATGTTTTTCAAACCTCTGGATTCAGAACTCAAACTGCACAGTTGGCCATGTGGGATCCAGTCACGAACCACCACACCACTGGCTGGCACAGATTCTGTTTCTAAAGTTTAGCATTTGATCAGAAGTTAGCTCCAGCAAATGGGGTCACTAGGTACCAGGTTGGGTTGGGATGCATGGCCAAGCTACTATGGAGCATCTGAAGAGCACAGAGCTGCCAGGAGACCAGCAGTTAGTGTAATGGCTATTTCGCTGGACTCCCAAGTAGTTGACCGCGGTTCATGTCCCGGACTCGGTGGCTTGAACTCACGCTGGGCACGTGTGCGTGCGTGCCCAAGATCCCGAGAGGAGAATGGAGGAGAAGGGATCGCGGCCTGGCCATCCCACCTGGGGGGTGATTTATCGCTTTCTGTCTCTCTGTCTCTCTCTCTGTCTTTCTGGCGAACTCATGCACCCTATAACCTCATCCACCCTATACAAAAAACCACTCCAAAAAAAAAAAAAAAGAGCACAGAGCTGCCACCAAAACAGTGAGAGTCTTTGGTTACTATAGGCAGGTACCTCCTAAAAACCCTCCTACGACAGTTGATCTCAGGTTCCTCTCTCTGACCTGGCCTTTCAGAGTTCTGTCAGATGAACAATGGTCATGAGTCATTTGATGGACTCTGAACAACTTGGCTGGAATATATTAATTTAGAAGTTTCTTCTAGGTGAGGGAGAAATTATGTATAGGTAGTTGCTATCTATGACCCTGTTAGGTTTATGAGTACCTTCTCAAAATCAGGTCGAATTTTATACAGAAGGCAAGCAAATGAGTGGCATGGGAGGACAACCTCCAGCCACTCTGTAGGTGGGGCCCTAGGGCCATGACTCAGAACTGAGCTCTACTGTTAGTAAGTGACTTCTAGGAAAGAAGTCACTAACCCAAAGAAAGGGTAGGTGAGCATCCAGGAGGAGAAGGGGCCATTGATAAAGGTTAATGACAAAGGCTGTGCAGAAGAAAATGCCAGGAAAAGTGGCCTGTCCACCCCAGATATCCACCCACTCTAATCCACCACAAATCCTACAACTGGTTATCAATCTAAAACCCACATGGGATTACCTAATTGCCCTACTATGAACAAACAAGCAAAACTTTTGCAAGCCAAGTGAAGTCTAAGCTCCCTAGCTGGCTAACAGAATCCTCGCAGACTCACACTGAAGTCCTCTGATGTCTCCCAGCACTGCTCAGGTGCACCAGCCACATAGACTCAGAGCTCTCTTGAGTTCCTTTGCTGTGGCACGTTTTTGTTTTTCGTACCTGCTCTGGATACCCATCTTTTGTCTCATTTTTTAAGATCCAACTCTAGGACTACCACCATTCTGACACTTCTTCCCCAACTGGCTTTTGTGTATTGACCTTGTTTATCATGAGATTTAATAGATTAACAAAAATTTATCCCCACTAGAACCCTTGAGATTTGGATTTAGGAACTTAATTATCTTTTAATTTATTTTAATTTACTTATCTTTTATTTATTTTATTTATTCATTTTTTATGTATGCTTTATTTATTTTATTTATTCATGTTTTTCCATAGGAGAGAGAGAGTCAATTTTAGTTATTTATTTAGTTAGTTAGTTAGTTAGGTGGTTAGTTTGAGAGATTTCTGCCATAGGGCACATGCTTTCACTGGAGACACAAAGAGAAACAGAGAGGTAGAAAGTGACAAATCACCCCCTAGGGGGAATGGCCATGCCACAAACCCTTCTTCTTCATTCTCTTCCTGGGATTTTGGGCACACACACACACACACACACACACACACACACACGCACAGCATGAGTCTCACGCTACCAGATCTGGGACGCGAACCGTAGTCAACTACATGGTAGTTCAGCAATGTAACCATTACACCATCTACTAGTCTCAAGAGAGTCAATTTTTAAAGTTTATTTATTTCTTCCACTTGAGAGAGAGATAGCAGAGAGAGTCAGAGAGACAGGCATCTCCAGCAGAGTCTTCACCTGTGATCCACATACATATGCCACATGGGATGTGAACCCTGAACCTTCCCCATTCAGGACCAGTACTCTATAGCATTGTGTTATGCTTCACTATAGTCTTGCCTTGGTGTGTTTATCTTTATATCTTTAGTCCGATTCTAAAGTTTGGCATGAAGTATGAGCACAGGGAATGCTTAGAGAGGGAGTGAACAAGGACAAAGGAAGACTAAGATAAGAGAAGCAGGACGGGGAAAGCAGGGCAAGAAGGAAGCACAGAGTACAATCCCAAGTTCAATGTGTATCTCCACATCCATTGGCAGAGAAATTGTATTGAAAACTTCCTGAATATCAGGGACACTGAATCTCCTCAGTGTCTCCTATTGGGGCTTGTTTAAAAATACTTCAGGAACTCAGGACCAGAAGGTAAGGTGAAGTAGGCATGTCATTTGGATTTCAGTGGTCTGCTGGATATCGGTTTCCAGAAAACAATGACCAGTGGCAACCTATAACTCCTCTGCTGCCTTGGGGGCTCACCTTGTCACAAACAGGAAGAACAACATCTATTAAAATGAAAAGTTCAGATCAAGATTGGTCAAAATGGAAAATATCTTCACCACAAAGGGAAACAGAACTTAGCATTATTCACCCTTTAGCCAAAAGATTGTCAGATGAAAAGACAATAATTTCTTTTAAAAAAAGAACTATTTACTTAGTTTTATTTATTCATTCATTTATTTTAATTTGACCAGAGACACACAGAGAGAGAAGGAGAGAGAGAAAGCAAGCCACCAGGTCCAGGACCTGAACTGTTGTCAGCTACGTGAGAATGTCTAGTGCCTTAATCATCATGCCACCTGCTGGTCCCCAAAAAGACAATCTTTAAAAGTGGCTTTCAGGGACCAGCAGTTGGTGTAATGGCTATGTCGCTGGACTACCATGTAGTCTACCACGGTTCGAGTCCTAGATCGGTGGCTTAAAACTCACACCAGGCGCATATGTGTGTGTGCCCAAAATCCCAAGAGGAGAATAGAGGAGAAGGGATTGTGGTTGGCCATCCCCCCTGGGGGCTGATTTCTCTCTTTCTGTCTCTCTGTCTCTCTCTGTCTTTCTAATGAGTGCACACGCCCTATAGCAAAAACCTCTAGGAAAAAAAGTGGCTGTCAAATGTATCAACCTATGTAGAGGTTATCATTTCTTCTGTGACTCCTTAGCGAAATAAGTTTCTCTCTCTTTCTAAGTTTATCCACTTATTTCTTCAATGAGAGAGAGAAGCACTCCCAACAGAGTCTTTATACTGTAATCCACCCAAATCTTAGCCAGTCTGGATCACAGGCACCCAAACACACCCTCAGCATGTTCAAGAAGGTCCCAAGACGCAAACCCAGGACCTCTCCTGTGTGGACCTAGTTGCATTCCTACCGTGCCACCACCTGGCCCCAAGAAACTAGTTTCTCTTGACATGGTCTCAGAAAACAGTTTGGACAACTGCATTGTGCGGTCAAGTTAGAAGTCTCAGATGAGGGACCAGCGGATGGCGTAATGGTTACATGGCTGGACTCCTACATGGTTGACTGCAGTTCGAGTCCCAGACCTCGTGGTTTGAAATTCCCACCAGGTGCAGGTGCATGTGCGTATGTGCTCAAAATCCCAAGAGGAAAATGGAGAAGGGCTTGTGGCATGGCCATTCCTCCAGGGGGGTGATATCTTGCTTTTTTGTCTCTCTGTCTCTCTCTGTGTTTCCAATAAGCACATGTCCCCTACAGCAAAAACTCTTTCTCTAAAAAGAAAATAGAAAACAGTCCCAGGTAAGTCCCAGATCTATAGCTAATTCTGTGCGTGATCTTGGCTTGTTAATCAGATTTCAATTAAAAGGAGTTTTTCTGGGCTTATTTAATGCATAAAAGCCATCAATTCTTGTAAGAAAACCTATTTATTCCAAGATTATACAATTCAAAATAACTTTTTTCACCCCTCCCATTTGTTTTCAGATACTATATGCATAGAAGTCAAACCTGTTTCTTCCTGTTCTGAATGGTTTAGTTTCACCAATTTGCAATTCATAACAGTGAAACCCAAACTCAATTCCTTCTTTATACCCCTAAAAGAGTTAAAGATATCTCCTTAGATGCTGACTTTATACCCCAAGAAATAAATCACATCCTCTCTGCTTACCAGACATCAAATCAGACTTTAAGGTTCACATTTAAATACACACGGACCTTTTTCTGTTTTAATTTTTTGATTTTTTTTTTAAAACAAGCTGAACATCAAAGTTTGGCAATGCAGAATGCTATAAATCAAATTACCAGGGCTGACATGAAATGTTACATGAAACTCACAAATCAAAGTTTAAAAACGGATTGCTTTTGACCAGCTCAAAAGGGTAGCTTCTCTTGGCTGGGAAGGATTAAGGAAGTCTGTCTCATGGATCAGCAAACAATTATCCATAGCGACCGTCTACTTACAAAGGTTGACAGACCTCTGTGCAACAACGGAGCAAGAAAGAAATCAGGTCCCAGCATAGCGAGAAACTAGCTGCCAGGTCCCCCTTTCTGATGGGACAATGCCATGGCCGCTTTTATCCCAGCACATCTTTGCCACCTCCAACAGACATGGCAATCCCTCTTGTATCCCAGAGCAGTCTAGAAAGAGATCCATCAGCAGCACAGCAAACCTTTAGGAAGCATTGACCCTAAGAATCTTAGTCAGAAAAAAAAAGAACAACAGCAGCAAAACTCAATTCAGCTTTCATAGAAATCCTTAGAAGAGAATTTCGAGTACCTGGCCCCAGAATGGGGTGATCTGGGCTAGGTCATCTACCTTGGGGTACGGTAGCTCATCTGGTCTCAAGGATTCTAGGTCTGTAGAAGTGTTATTATCCACAGTCCCCGTTTTAGGATGGCTCTGCTCTCTCACTTTCTCCCTCCTGGAGCCGCTACGGCCAGTCTGCTGGTGGCTTTGCACTATCCTGGCCACCACGTTATTAGCTCTTCCGCTCACCTCCATGTATTCATCTTGACACAGGCACAAAGGGAGGAAAAGCAAAGCCAGCAGGTGCCAAAAGACGAGCTGCCTCCAGAGCATGTTTCCCCCACAGAGCCACTGAGCCTCCTTGCAAAGATGGTGGGGCCTCCAGGCGCCGTGGTCTCCTCGGGCAAATGCCAGGGCTGGAGACGAGAGCTGCAGCCGGCCGGGTGGTTTTATACTTTGGCGTGTAATAAATAAGGCTGCAGGCATGCCAGAGTGACAGCAGCCCTCCTTCCCAGGCAGAACAGTCCTATTCATCAGTTCCCCCACCACAAGGCAGGACGGACTTGTGCGCACAGCCCCAGGTGGTGGGGTTCATAAATGTCATGCCTTGGCATGGTTCTGTTCAAGTGTGAAGAAAACATACACAAACAGCTGGAAACAGAGAGCAAGTGTCCAGGGGTTTGCTTTCGTGATTAGACATGGGAAGGCTGTGCATTCACAGTCTAAAATGCCTTTTGGAAAAGCCTACCCTCATGCTTGCCAGGAAATTTGGACTTCACTACATCAATTCTGTCTGAAATGGCAGTGGGATCCCATTCAGGGCAATCAAGAGAGCTCTTGCTCTCTAGCTGTACAGTTCCCCCCTTTCCCACTTTGACCCACTTTAACTTATTTCCTTTTCCCGCAACCAGCAGCAGAAAGCAGTTGGTGAAACATTGAACTGAATTCAGCTGCAGAGTCTCTGGGTTTAGCAAAGGCTATTTCCCCATCCTAGAATTTATTTATTTCTTCCTAGAGTTTCCAAAAGCCACAGTTAAATCAAAGGTAACGAAGTCACTTGTTTCAGATGACACAGCACCAAGCTTTGTGTTAAAAGATGGTTATCTCGGGACCAGCAGTTAGTGTAATGGCTATGTTGCTGGACTCCCACGTAGTCGGCTGCGGTTCGCATCCCGGACCTGATGGCTTAAACTCACGCCAGGAACATGTGTGTGCATGCCCCAGATCCCGAGAGGAGAATGGAGGAGAAGGGATTGCAGCATGGCCATCCCCCCTGGAGGGTGATTTCTCGCTTTCTGTCTCTCTGTCTCTCTCTGTCTGTCTGGCTCTCGGGGCCAGTAGGTGATGTGGTGGCTAAAGGCACTGGACTTCCATATGGCTGACCACAGTTTGAGTCCCAAATACACTCTTCTAGATATATCAGAATCAAGGGAGTTATCATTTCCTTTATTTTAATAGATTTACTTTCACAAATTCAGCCAAAGAGCAAATGGACATTCCTAACCCCTTCATGATAATACATTAAGAGAATTTATGTAGCTTTATCATTAAAAATTGCTTCTACTTACATATGACTTCATTTACTCACTTAACAAAAAGTCACTGGCCCTCTCCTATAAACATTGGCAAGATCCTGGGACTTCTTTTCTTTTCTTCCATAAATTAGAGAGAGAGACAGAGAGACATCACCTCTAAGAGTCCTGACTCCACCTCCAGCCTCAGCCAGTCCTGGATATGGGCACACGCATGTGTACTCAGGGAGGTCTCCTGATGCCAATCCCAGAACCTTCCCTTGTGGTTCAGCCTCACAGGGCATTGTGTTTTACCACTGTGCCCTATCTGGCCCCTGATTCTGAGACCTTGAAGAGGATACGTGGCCAGTGTTTGATGCTAAATGGACAAGGGTCATACTGCTTGAAAGCCAGATCTTAGAGAAGCCGGGCTGCTGCTGATAAGACAGAGCTGCTGAACAAGAGTTTGAGGAAAGAGCTGCTCACAGCTGCCCTTCTCATTTAGCTAAGAGGCCTGAAAACCAAAAGTATCTCCTGAACTGACCAGAACCGCAAAAGCTATCCTGGCTGTCCCCACAACTGCCAAGACAGCTTCTTCAAGAGCCCACATTTCTACATAGAAAGGTCTTAGTGCTGGGTTTAGAATGAACAAGTTTTTCTGAGAAAGGACATCTCTCTGGGTCACAAGCATGGTGGCCATGAGAGTTATAATTAGTGAAAGCAGGTGGCGCCCACCTGGTGGAGCATCACAAGCTCACCATCCCCTTCATGAGTCTACTCTCGGGAGTCTAAACTTGTCTCACTGGAGGGTTCATTGAGTTCTGTGATAAGCAGTGTTAAAAGGCAGATACCCCTAGGAAGGATAGCAAATCAAGCTGTTATGGACATTAACTTTTCTTCAGGATTTTTCTTTTTTCTTTTTTTATTAATTCACTACAGGGTATGTGTGTTAGCCAGAGAGAGAGAAGGAAAGTGAGAAAGCACCTCCCTGGGAGGATGGCCATGCCACAATCCCTTCTCCTCCATTCTCTTCTCAGGATTTTGGGGACTCATGTACATGCACACAGTGTGTTTTTCAGGCTATGGAGCTATACAGTCAGCCATGTAGAAGCCAGCAACCTAGTGGGGCATCACGAGCTTCACCATTCTCTTCATGGTCAATGACCATGCCACCACCTGGTCCTGTTTTTATTTGAAGTTTCTTTCTTTCTTTCTTCTATGAACAAGAGACAGAGAGGCACCCCCAACAGGGTCTTTACTTCGTTATGCACTCTCAGCTTCAGTTAGTCCCGGATTCGAACCCAGCATATTCAGTGAGGTCTCCAGATGTGAAATGGGAACCATGCCCTGTGGGTTGGACTTACAGAGCATTGCATCGCTGCTGCACCACCAACCAGCTCCATCTCACTGAGTGTTTCCTTCACAGACCTGGTGAGGACATTGCCTGGTTTGGTGAGTGTGGTGGGCCAACACGTGATGGAGTTGCCTGTGGGGAGGCAGCCCAGGGCCCAGGGCAGTGTCTCAATGGGGATGCACCTCATCAGGGAGGCCTGAAGAAAATGTCAGAGGAGACCACAAAGCAAAAACTGGCTCTGGAAACTAGGTTAGCTAATTCATAAGTTTTCCAAGAACTGTCTCTGGCTTTCACCATCAAACATCTCCCACACATGGGCTATCTGGCTAAATAACTATAAATCAAGCTCTCTGACTTTCTACCACATTAAAACTTTCCCTTGGTGTTTTCACTGTCGTCTATTCTAGTTTTCAAGCCTGGCTGCATATCAAAACAAATCAGGGAGCTTCTAAAAATATAAGTGCCTGAATCCCCTCCCAGACCAATTGAGTCAGAGTCTCTAGGGGATCCTAAGCAGCTTTTTTTTTTTTAAAGTTATTCCTTATGTACAGCTAGAATCAGAAATCACTAGTCCTATCTCTTCTTGATTCAATAGGAATAAATAGTAAGAATAAATCTACAATTCATTGGGTATTTATGATGTGCTAACCCAGAACTTCTTAGTACTAGCTAAAGTATTGCTTTAGCTCAGTGACTTCTTTCAGTCAAACCCATCACCCCCATCTCATAGATGAAGAAACAGACACTTAAAGAGATAAAGTGACTTGTTTGGTGTCACACAGCTGGAAAGGGGTTGTCAAAATTAGACTCTATCCTCTGGGTCTGTGTTCTCTTGCTTCCTACAGACAGTAGGAGAAGCTAAACTGCAGGCAGATGATGGAGAGAAGGCTAGCTTTAAGGGTGCCAGGAGACCTATACACATGAATCTTGAGTCAGACAGTGTTAGGGGTTGAAATGTAGCCCCCGAAAGAAGTTGTACCTGTGAGTTTGATCTTATTTGGACATAGTAAGTTAAAATAAAGACCAGGTCTAAAGAATCCTTGAGCAGACAGTCCTCATAAGTGACCTTAACCTTGCTTAATTTGCAAACATATACAAAATTTAACTTGAGCTAATTTTTTTTAAAACCTGTATTTTAAAAAAGGGAGAAAAACAAGAAAGAAAGAAAGAGAAAGAAAGAAAGAGAGAGAGAGAGAGAAAGGAGAAAGAGAGAGCAGGAAAGAAAAAGAAGAAAGAGAGAGAGATAGAAAGGAAAGAAGAAAGAAATAAGGAAAGAAAGAAAAAAAAAGAAAGGGAGGAAGGAAGAAAAAGAAAAGAAGGAGGGAAAAGAGGAAGGAAACAAAAGTGGCTTTGTGGTCTAGTGGTAAAGGGAACTGGGTCCCATTGTGCAGTTTGAATCCTGGCCCCAGTGACTTGAAAACATACCAGGAACATGTGTGTGCATGCCCAAAATCCTGACAGGGTGGAGAGATGAAGGAGAAGGAATTGTAATGTAACTACACCCCACTGGGGGAGGGGGGTGATTTCTCCCTCTTTCTCCACCTCTGTCTGGCAAGAATACATAGCTCTGACAAAAACAACAAACAAACAAAAACAGAACTAAAGCTGACTAGTCAGAGACAATCAACAAACTTATAATTACACTACTAAGAAGGTTCCAAAGGGATAGGCCAAATAAGGCAACCATATAGCCATAATTAATCAAATATTTTCTTTGCTTTACTTCTGTGTTCATCCTATAAAAGCCTCCCCATTGTGTTCCCTCACTGGAGTTCCTGGACCACTTCTGGTTTGGCAATGCCAAATTCACAAATTGCTGTCTGCTCAAATGAACTGTAAAATTCTATTGTGCCTCGGTTTACTTTTAACAGGTCATTATAGATGATCAAATTAAGATGATGTCATCAGACAAGACCCAGTCCAATATGACTTTTTAAAAGGGGAAATTTGTACAGAGATATTTAAGCATGCAGGAAGAAAGCCATGTAAAAATAAAGACAGAAATCAGGGCCACGCATTTACAAGTCAAAGGAATGCCAAAGATTGTCCACCAACCAGCAGAAACCAGGTGAGAGGATGGAGCTGATTGTTACCTCGCAGCCCTCAGAAGGAACCAGCCTTGCTGATGTCGCTCTCAGATTCCTAGCCTCCAGAAATATGTGACAATAAATTCCTTTATGGGTTTGTTGTTGTTGTTATTGTTGGTGCTGGGTTTTTTATTCATGCTAGAGCGTGTGTGCACCTATGAGAATGCATGTGTGTATGTGTGTGTGTGTGTCCGCATGTGTGTGTGTGTGTGTGTCAGAAAGAGAGAGAGAGAGAAATGAGCACCATCCACCAGGCCTGGTCATGCTACAACCCCTTTCTCCAGTCCTCTAGTCCATAAGATCTGGGGCACTCACCTGCATGCCCAAAGCCTTTTCGGGCTGGCCAGGCTGCGGAGTCAAACCTCAGTCACCATGTGAGATCCTACTTACCAGCAACACAGAACAAGCCCGAAAAAAATCCCTGTGTCTAATGCACCTTATTAATAGCACTTTGC